TGGACCATAAAACACTGGAGGAATTCCTTCGGGCATACTCACACATTGTGCAAAGGTGATTGTCTAAATATCTTAACTCTCCCCCTGGGATCTAGGTTTTGTTTTGTAACCAATGGGTTTCAATATGACTGTGGCTTATGGAGTTCTTAGAATCAAGGCATAAGATCTGAACACAATAAAGAAACCCAGACTCAGTATGACCACTGGTGACCAGCACCCTTTCAGTATGTAGCAATGAAGCCACACAGGTATAGACTGTATCTCCTGAAACTGAACCAAAATAACCTTTTTCTCCTTAAAGTTTCACGATGCCATCTGTTGGGTATGGCCATGAAAAGCTAACTCTACACAGGCATAATGTGCTATGTGGTCTTTTGCACGTAACTTCTTCTACTGAGCATAACACTCCTGAGGACCATCCATGTTATAACATACATCATTATCTTATTCCTTTTTACTGGTGAGTGGGATGCCATTGTAAATATGTACTTTTACTAATCTATTCATAAATTGATAGACTTAGAATTATTTGTGCCTTCTGGCTACTGTGAAGCTACCACTATAAACACTCATATAGTCAATAACAAGGCATCAAATACCTGGAAGTGTGTGTGTCTGTATATGTATGTGAATGAGAATGTTTGTGTTCCTGTGTTTTCCATGGAATGTGTGTGGCATTTCAGAGGATAACCTGGGGATCAGTCCTCACCTTCCACCTTGTGTGAAACAAAGTCTCATGACTTCCCCAATGTGCACACAAGGCTAGCTGGCCCATATCCCAGAGATTGTCCGGTCTCCCATCTCACTGTAGGTGCTCTGTGGTTACTGACGTAAGCTACTACATCTGACTCTCCCCGATTTCTAGAGAGCTGAACTCAAGTCTTCGTGTTTGTACTAGCAAGTGCTTTCCCTACTTGGTCATTTCCCCAGACCCTGGAAATTTCTAGAATAGTAGGTTTCAGGCATTCTTATCACAAACAAAGAATTATTTGAGGTAATATCTACATTAATTAGCTTGAGTTAGCCACTCCACAATTATCTGTATTTCAAAGCTCCATGATACTGATATACTGTAAGCAAATACAACCCAGTCAATTAAAAACTGAGTAAAAGGAAATAAATGAAAATTAATACTACCTCTTTAAACTTTTACATTCAACGCTCTTTGTGGGCATAGGTGTTTGTTTCTTTTCACTTTAGCTCATCTTGTTTGCATTTAAATAAAATTAACTTTTATTTATTTTAATGCAGTAATTTTATTGACTATTTGAGAGTTTATACAAGCATATAATGAATTTTGATTATATTTCACCCCTCTTCCTCTTCCTAACTCTTCCAGATCTACCCTATTCTCCCAATGTCATATCCTCTTTTTTAAGTATGCTGATGAATTCAACTTGTGCTAGTTATATACTCATGAGCATTGAGCCATCCACTGGACCGTGGTTGACCCGCCTGCCAGAGGCCATACCCTTAAAGAAAACAACTCATTCTATGAGGCTAATATCACCAGAATATCAAAATGAAAACACTAAAAGAAAAAAAAACCCACTACACACCAGTATCACCTAGGAACATCATTGTAAAAACTGTCAGCAAACCACTAGCAAGATGAATTCAGCATTGCATTAAAAAGATTACACATTAAATTGGATTTATTCTTAGGATGCAAGGACAAGGCAACATATGAAAAGTCAATCAGTGTAATATAACTATTAACAAAATAAAAAAGAAAAACACATGGCCTCAATTGGTGCATGAAAAGCATTTGACACTCTCCAATGCCCTTTCATTTAAAAGTATCCAGTAACCAAGGAGGAGAGGCAAGCTTAGAATTTGGCGTGATGAACACTATATAAAAATTCATACCCAGTGGTCAAACTCTAAGAACTTTTCCTTTAAGATCAGGAACAAAACACGGATGCCTGCTTACATCAGTTCTATTTAGGGCAGTGCGGAGAGCTCTAGCAAAAGCAGTTACATGAAGAGAGAGGAGAGGAGAATAAGTAGAGGCAAAAGAAAGGAAGCAAAGGAAGGAAGGGCGAAGGGAGGGAAAGATAGAGAGGGCAAGGAAGGAAGGAACTGGAAGGAGAAAGAAAAGGAGAAGGAGGGGAGATGGAGGCTGCGTCCTAACTAAAAAGGAATGTGAAGTGACACTTATCTGAGAACCCAGTCTTCTATGTAGGAGAACGGCAAACGCGGCCGCGCGCACGCATGCGCACGCACACACATACGCACACGCACACACACACACACACACACACACACACACACACACAGACTGTTTAAAATAACCAATGAAAGCTAAGCAGTGGTAGCGCACGCCTTTAATCCCAGCACTTGGGAGGCAGAGACAGGCGGATCTCTGTGAGTTCAAAGCCAGCCTGGTCTACAGAGCTAGTTATAGGACAAGCTCCAAAGTAACAGAGAAACTTTGTTTCAGAAAATAAAAAAAAAATTAAAATAAAATAAATTCGGTAAAATAGCAGAATATAAATTTAACACGTAAAACAAGTTATGTTTCTGTACACCGACCATGAACAAATTCCAAGGGAATTACAAAAACAATCTAATTCACAATAATACAAAAAACTTTTTAACCAAAGATGTGAAGGCTTGCCCAAGGGAAATCATAAAATATTAGTGAAAGAAACTGAAGAAGATATGAGTGGATGGAAATGCATTCTGTTCCTGTTAGTTAGATGAATTGCCGCTTTTAGGCTAGAGGACCAGAGACACAGGGTAGAGGCTACATAATGTATTCTAGGCCCTCAATACCTCAGCTCCCAGCCCCCAACACTACCTACAGCAATGTAGTGGTCAGTGCAGTCAAAATCCCCATGAAACTGAGCATGGAGTGCAAGCTTTAATCCCAGCACTCTGGAGGCACAGGCAGGGGCATTGCTGTGAGTTTTAGGCCAGCCTTATCTGCAAAGTGAGACCTTGTTTCAAAAGAAAGAAAGAAAGAAAGAAAGAAAGAAAGAAAGAAAGAGAGAGAGAGAAAAGACTTTTTCATGAACAGAAAAACTGACCCTGACGCTCATGTGGACTCTCAAGGGACACTAAATCGTGAGAAAAGAAAGAAGCGAATAGCAAAAACAGAATCGAGTCAAAACAAGAGGCCTCATAGTCTCTGATTTCAAACTATATTGCCAAGTAAATCATAGAATGGAAGCAGAATGGGCACTAGCATAAAAATGAACCCATGGCCCAATGTGTCTCTCTGTTAAACCAAACTGACAGCTCCTATATTTATGGTCAACTACATTTGACAAGGGCGGTAAGAATACACATCGAAATCGAACGCTGTGGTACAAGCCTATAGTCCTTGCACTACAGAGGCTAAGGCAGAATGATTACAAGTTCAAGGACAGCCTACTCTCCACTGTAAGTTCAAGGACAGCCTGGGCTAACACGTGTGTGTGTGTGTGTGTGTGTGTGTGTGTGTGTGTGTGTGATTTTATCCTTGCATTACAACATGCAGGATTCTTATTTATGTCATCAATGGCTGGGTGGGTATGTGTGTATGCGTGCAGGCGTGTGTGTGTGTGCCTATGTGCATGCATGTGTGATTTTGCTATAAGAAATAGAAGAAAACTGACATTTTGATATCATTTTGATATGTATGAACCCAGAAGATATCATGCTAAGTGAAGTAAATCAGACACAAAATGATAAAAAAAAACTGTTTGAATCAAAAAAAATAAACAATTCTAACACAGAAACAGTGAACAGAATGGGAGCTCTAGTGACCAGGAAGGATGGGACTGGGCAAGAATGAGATATTATATAGCAAAAGGTTCAAGCTTCTATGTATTAGATGCACATGTCCTAGCGGTATAATGTACAGCATGCTGTCTATAGTTGATAATATTTATTGTGTGGCTGAAATTGGCTGAGAGTAGACCTTCAATATCCTCACCACCTCACCATCCGTGCGTGGAAGTGTTAACTACATGAGGTAACTGAAGGATGTCTTAATTAGCTTGATTGTGATAGGTAATATTCATTCTCTCCCTCTTCCTCCCCTCTCTCTTTCTATTAAGTCATCATATTGTACACCATAAAACTATGGGATGCTTGCCAATTATCCCCCTCTAAAGCTAGAGAGAAACAGCAATCTTCCCAGGTAGTTCCTCAGAAGGCACAAATTTGCATTGGGACTGGCAGTGTCCAAAAGCCATCTCCCCACTCCTTTGTGGTGCTGCATTTTTAACAAAGCTTCTAGAGACTTCAAACCCCTTGGGAAACGGACAGGAATATTTCCATAGTAATAAAGAGCAGCTCACCTATCTTCCACTTTCAAATTTCTATTTATTCATTACAACAAAGTCCTGCTCATACCCTACAGCTGTTAACGTAGCCACAAAAAGTTCGGATGACTAGCGAATCTTGTATATGCTGGATGCTTTTCCGAAATGCCTGTTTATGTTGTAATTTATTTTCTTAATAAAGATCTTTTCCCCTTTGGTGATATCACTTACATTTGTTAAAAACATAATGTAATTTTCAAAGCTTGTAGGTGACTATTTGGGGATGCCTCTTCTCTAGGACTGGAATTCGGAGGCAAGCTCCAGATAGTTATCCGAATAACTGAGGGAGCATTCTGAATGGATTTGTAAGCTATCATATGATGCAGATATGATCATTTGCAAAGCAGCCTAAGGCAATTTTGTCTTCAGCTATAAAGGGGTTTCTCTAGAATCCTGATTGAATTTAATCCTTGATACTTCGTAATTGTCTATAGAACTCTTCATTAGAAACAGTAACCAACATATGGGGAGAGAAATTATGAGAGATATTATAGACTATGTGTAATTGAATTAGTTTATAGGCATAAGAAACAAATAGAGGATAACATGCTTCATCCTCCCTTTGAAAAACCGAGAAGTATACCCTGTGGATGGTTATAGACTCACAAGTTGAAATTTAAGGAAACCTCACAGATTTCTAACACTCTTCTTAGTTTGCAAACAAAATCTATCAAAAGTAGATATTACCTGCCTGCAATCCCACAGTGGAAGAGACAAGCGATCAGCCAGAGGCCTTAGCTCTTCAGTCAGGTGCAGACAATGTGCACCAATCTCAGCTTCCAGCTTGGTAAATAACACTCCTCCACCTAGAAGGACGAACAGTAAATGGCACCACTGTTTTTGCTTGCATGAACGTCTTCCACGGGACAGGTTTTTGCAGACACTTTCTCGCTTGCTCTCCTAAATCTCCCTGCGGTGTGGAGCAACTGAGGAATAGGAGCTGAGAGTGTTTATTAAGTGATTTGCCCGAGGCGGCACAGCCAACAGGTCCTAAGTCCCTGAACTTGGAACCAGATGGAGTTCTCACATAATGGTTCTCAGACTGCCCCCTTCAGACCTCCTGATCATCGTTTCTCCTTCACAAAGACCCCTCCAGGCCCTAACACGCACCCTCCATTCAGGGCAGCACTGGGAAAACTCATCTCCCTCACGGCCTCAAAGCCCTGTAAAGGTCAGGGGACCTATTTAAAATAACTGTGTGGGCACCACACAATCAAGAAAGGGCATAGGCCAGGTGGTGGTGGCGCACGCCTTCAATCCCAGCACTGGGGAGGCAGAGACAGGAGGATCTCTGTGAGTTCGAGGCCAGCCTGATCTGCAGAGCAAGTTCCAGGACAGGCTCAAAAACTACAGAGAAACCCTGGTCTTGAAAAAACAAAATAAAAAACTTAAACAACAACAACAAGAATGGACATAGCCCACCTACCTTATGAAAATTAAGACAAGAAATCACCACTGAGACCTGAGAAAGCCCAACATGCTGGCACACACTTGGAATCCCATGGGCTCCTTGATTTTTACCTCACTGCAGCTGCCAACATAGAAGCAGATCTCTGATGTTTCCTGGATAGCCTGCTTGGCATGATTGACAAGCCTCAGACCGATGTAAGACTATGTAGTCTCAAAAACTAGGGTGGAAGGCAGCTGATGATGAGAGTCCAAGGTTGATTGATCTCTGGCCTCATGTGCACAGGTAAGATTCGTATGTATACCTGCACATTCATGAGCACCCACAGACACACACATGCATACAGACACACAAATAGAGAACAAACCTTTCATCCACAGAAGCATAGAGATTCCGATACTAATGGGATCCCACAAACACATAAAGCAGGAGACTGTTCATTATTGTGCATTTATCTCGGTTTCTTCCCTCCTAGGGAGTGGGAGAGGAACATGCATACATGTCGGAAAAATATTTTAAGACCAGCGTTTTAATTCTGAAGAAAATTATGACCGATATATGCTGAGATGACGTTCTCATTAGGTAGTAAAAGCTAATTGAGTCTTAAAAGCTGACCTAATTGAGGGATAACAGCGCCCACGTGTGCCCAAGGAAATGCATCCATTTAGTGTTCTGGCCAGAATGCCTCAGAAGGGCATGGCAGTCTTGAATCCATAAGCAGCACAATAAATAAATAAATAAATAAACAATAAAGAAACCTTATTTACCACAGCCTTCTGAGAAAAAGCAACTTAAGGGTGGGGGGGACATTAAGCTGTGCAATTAATGTTACAAAGTCACATTAGCACATAAATAATTTCCGTGGCAGGTCATGGGATTTGCATGCATATTTTATCACTCTGTAAGAAATGATTTTTCTCTCTGACCCTGATCCTTCTGTGTACTTTGAAGTCTGCAAATCAGCAGTATAGCCTATAAGTTTAAAGAAATTTAGAAAGAATTGTGGAGTTAAAAGGTACTTTTGATGTCTCTACTGTTTCTCCTATCACAAGGACATCCGATACAACTGAAGGAAAGTAGAAAATGTTAATGCCCAAGAATTCTCCACAGCAGGCATATTCAGTTAACCCTTTGTGACCACTGCTTTTCTCGGAGGTCAAAGGTTAACATACTTTCTAGGTGGGCCAATGAATTCCTAGGTTCTGTGACCCCCCTTCCCTTTGTAATGACCCTCATTACTGTCAATGCTGTCACACTCGGTCCCTAAGAAGTCACACCTCTCCCTGTCTCCATACTTGACAGCATTCCAGTCTGAGTCTCCTGCAACCTAGCTCCGACCACAGTGCTCCCCACTGACATCCTCGGTGTCCCCTTCTTTTCTGCCAAAGGAAATTTATGCTCATATTGTCTCAAAGCCTTTCATAGCATGGCCCCGCCAACTCCTTTGCTATGTATTTCCCACAATTCCCCCGCGCTGACCTTTATTCCCAAGCCACACGGCTCTCCTCGCTGTCTGCCACCTCACAGCTTCTCCCTCTCCACTGTGTTTGTATGGAGGCTGACTGATAGCGGGACTGACTGGGCTCTGGTTACAGAATGACCCCTTCCTGGCTGTGTGGCTCTGGGCAAACATTTGACCTGTCTGTGCTTCATCCGCTCCTCTGTAAAATGACAGAAGTGTCCTAAGGAACTCTTCTCAGACTAACTCAGTGCGCTGAGTCTGCAATGATGGAGCAAATGCTACCCCATGTCAGCAGGTGTTCTGATAACGGCTGCTTCTCCTCTTGGATCAGTCTACCCTCACTCAGAAGCCAACACTTCCTCCCCTCATCCAATGTTCAAATCAAGATCAAATGAACACGTCTCAGCTGCTCCCAAGAAATGCTGGCTTTTGGCACAATGAAAATTCTTTGTTTTCTTACACAGATTATAAGTGCGCTGAGAAAGAAATCCGAGAAACATCGCCCTTCACAATAGCTACAAATAACAAAAGTATCTTGGAATAATTTTACCCAAACAAGTGGAAGACCTGTATGACAAAAACTTTAAATCTTTGAAGAAAAAAAATGAAGAAGACACCAGAAAATGGGAAGATCTCCCATGCTCTTGGGTAGGTAGAACTAACAGAGTAAAAATGGCTATCTTACCAAAAGCAATCTACAGATTCAACTCAATGCCCAACAAAATCCCAGAAAAATTCCTCACACATTTCAAAAGAATAATACTCATCACAATCCCTGACTTCAAAATCTACTACAGAGCTACAGTACTGAAAACAGCCTGGTATCAGCATAAAAACAGACAGGAGGACCAATCCAAAGACCCAGATAAGAATCCACACACCAACAAACACCTGATTTTTGACAAAGAAGTGAAATATATAAAATGGAAAAAAGGAAGCATATTCAACAAATGGTGCTGACATAACTGGATATCAACACGTAGAAAAGTGAAAATAGATTTATATCTACCACCATGCACAAAACTCAAGTCCAAATGGATCAAAGACCTCAATATAAAACCACCAACATTGAACCTTATAGAAGAGAAAGTAGAAGTACACTTGAATGCTTTGGCACAGGAGACCACTTCCTAAATATAACCCTAGTAGCACAGACACTGAGAGAAACAACTATAATGGGACCTCTTGAAACTGAAAAGCTTCTATAAAGCAAATGACACAGTCAACAAGACAAACAGAGCAGCCTACAGAATGGGAAAAGATCTTAACCAACCCCACATCAGACAGAGGTCTGATTTCCAAAATATACAAAGAACTCAAGAAATTGGTCATCAAAAGAACAAATAATCCAATAAGAAGTGGAGTACAGACCTAAACAGAGAACTCTCAACAGAGAAATATAAAATTGCTAAAAGACAGTTATGAAAATGCTCAATATCCTTAGTCATCAGAGAAATGCAAATCAAAACAACTCTGAGATTCCACCTTACACCTGTAAGATTGGCCAAGATTACATACACTGATGACAGCTTATGCTGGAGAGGTTGTACAGTAAAGGGAGCACTTCCGCATTGCTGGTGGGAGTGCAAGCTGGCACAGTTGCTTTGGAAATCAGTATGATGATTACTCACAAAATTAGGAAACAACCTTTCTCAAGACCCAGCAATACTACTTTTGGATATATACAAAGGATGCTCAATCATGCCACTAGGACATGTGCTCAACTATGTTCATAGCAGCATCATTTGTCATAGCCAGAATCTGGAAACAACCTACATGCCCCTTGACCAAAGAATGGACAAAGAAGATGTTGTAAATTTATACAATGAAGTACTACACAGCAGAAAAAAAAATAATATCTTGAAATTTTCAGGCAAACCAATAAGGAAAAGAGTATGAGACAGAAGGTTCTAGATTTTTCTGTCCAACATTCATGACTCTCTGGTGTTGCCATCTCTTTCAGAAATACCAAAAGATCAGAAGAGAGAGCCTGAAAATACATCCAAGAGCTTCCAAATAGTTCTCAAGTCAAAGTACCCTTGGGATACCCTAAACAAACATGTCCTGCCAGACATGGCCAAGAAATACTCAAGTAACACAAGAAGGGTGTGCGGTTTAAGATCAGCAGCTGACTGGTGCATTGAAAGGAAACATGGTAAAGTACAGAACAAAAGTAGACATTTTTCCAAATGGTCGAAATGGAGCCTGGAGGGTCTGCCCCGGGCATGATCTAGCTCTGTCTCCACTCACTGTATGGCCTCCGGAGTTTTACCTAAACTTCATGATCCTCTGAAATTTATAAATGACTTCATAAAACAATGTTTGTAGTATGCCCAGCACACTTAGTGCTAACTTCAACCAAAACTTCAATGTAAAATAATAATTCTGCTTTTTTAGGTTGCATTAGCATAAATTAATTATACAAAAAAATGGGTCGCATTATGAGATCTTCAGACATTTATACATAATGCACTTTGGTTATATGTACCCCTCTGTTGACCACTTTTGTCCTTTCCTCCTCTTCTTCCCAAATAGTCTCCCCTACAGAAAAAGTCTGCTTTCATAATATGAGCAAGAACAGGTCATAGACAGAAACTTGAAAATTCTGCACCAATCAAAGCTTACAAAACTAAACCTGACTTCAGCACAGGCTTCTTCCTCAACTTGGTAAGTGTCATATCTTCGATTTGCTGCTGGTAAGAGGGTCATTCTACACTCTTGTGTGAGAAGATGGAGATTCGACAAGATTTATTGGACCGAGAGAGAACTCAGATTTGGGAAAACTAAATAAAAAATTCTATTTTACATAAAAAAGAAAAGGTATTTATCCTTGACTAATTCTAGCACTTTTAAGTAAGGTCTTATTACTTGCATGCGTGTATGCGTGTGTGTGCGTGCGTGTATGCGTGTGTGTGCGTGCGTGTGTGTATGTACAT